TGATTTAGGCTTGTGCAAACTATGATATGTTTTGCTTACTATCGTTAATAAGAACTTTATTCATTATTTCATTGTAGATAGATATTCTTTACCAAAGAGATATGCCAGAGTCAAGTACAGAGGCCGCTGGAAAGACTGTAACAACTTCCATACCGTAGATGATTATGGAACCTATTGCAACTGTCCCTTTGTTGCTTGCACGGGAACACAGTCATGCGTCACAACGGACGGATTCTTCTGCAGATTTTTGCACGATAATGTGAATGTAGAAGATATGGACAGAAGTGATTGTGCCTGTAAATATCTTGAAGAGAAATAAATCGGATTAATAATCAGAAAAATCCAGTATGCAACTATGGAAAAGAGGGAAATAAAATGGCGTAGCATTTCAGTCTTGAAATATTATTCTCTTACATTTACCTAAAACTAATAGCACTCGTAATGCAATCCAAAATTAAACTTTTTCTCGTCATTTCATCGAAAATATAGTGCTAAAAAAATTGGAGATGAGAAGTGAAAAATCGTCCAAGTGAGATATTTAGAGCTAATGTCAACATGCATGAGACAAACAGCGGCAAGTCACCAAAAGTTTGCTTTTACTCCTGCTTTCATACTTTGTAGCCCAATATGTTCTAATGATTGTGGTGTAGGGTTTTTGTGAAAATGTATTTCAGCTTTCGAGGAATGATTTTTTCGTTCGACCGCTCAAATATGCAACTTTTCACCGTGAATATTTCCCGAGTTGTATGATCTCATGTCACGAATTTACTTGACCTCCGGTATTTCTGTCCTCACAATCCTTTGTTCTATTAACTAAACTTAATCCTCTGTCATTGTCGAAGCTGGTAAAGAAATATTTATTTATTGGCGAATATTTTTGTCCCAGATACTTTTTCCAAAAGTAGCATGAAGCTTTTTAAAAGACAAAAGGACGGTTAAAAAGTTACTGTAAAAATCTCCTTGTGTATTTGTGTTGTTCTATCTTGAGACGAACTCAAAGTCTGGCAAATTTACTTGCTAGCGACTATGAAATATACATGGCGTGCCTACTTGTCGCCACCGTTTAACATAACACTCTTATCTTGTTTATTTATGATTTTATTTGCTGTTTCGATGATCACGTTATGCTATACGACATTCTAGCCAGATTTGAGTTCCGTTTTACATATCTTCTCCATCTTGTTATATCAGTTGCATGACAAGCGTGACACATATCAAATCGTTCCGCAACGAAATTAATTTCATACCACGTTTACATGCGAGATAATTTAACCTGTAAAAGCAAGTATTTGTGCCCTTTTCTGTCTTTTTCTGGGCTTCCCTTGCTCCTCAAGAGGATTCATATAGATTTGAGTATCGTAGTGTGTTTATAACTTTTAGGCTCTCACACTTTGATTCTCACTGAATGATAATAATGATCATAATAATAATAATAATAATAATAATAATAATAATGATAGTAATCAAGAACTGCAAACAGTAAGAGAATCCATCAAAATTCAAGCAAAAGCCCAAAAACTCAGGAGATATGTAAAAAGAAGAAAACAATTCAGGCAAAACCAGATGTTTGCAAACAAAAGAAAAAATTCTTTAGAAACCTTGGTAAAGAACAGACATCAGTTGAAAAACCACCAGAAAGAAGCAACAGAAACATTTCGGCGTTCCATCTTGAAGAATTCAGCAGAAATGAAAAACTAATCAAGTTAGTGGAAACCTTAATGAGCAACTAGAAAACTACAATGAAGCTGCTTTACAATAATGGATGCATCACAACGGATCAGATCAAGATCAAACGGGTAATCTTTCAAGGAGATTCATTCTCACCTCTGCTACTTTGCCTAGCCCTTGTGTCTTTAACATCAGTTTATCTGTATTATATTGATGATCTAAAATTATACAGCAAGAAGGAGCAGGAACAAGTTGGAGAACTGAAAATAGTGAAACAATTCAGTGATGATATCGGTATGGTATTTGGCCTATATGCAACAGCAAATTATATGCAAACTCCTTGGTATATGCGCCAAAGCCTGTATGAAGAAAGGTAAACTGACCTCAGCTGGAAACATAGTAATAGATGAAGACACAGAATTGCAAGAGTTGGACCAGGAAAGGATATACAAATGCCTGGGTGTAGATGAGAGTGATGGTATCCAGCAAAGCAAATTGAAAGAGAAGATAAGAAACGAATACAATAGGAGAGTCAAATTGATCCTAAAAACTGAGCTCAATGGAAGAATCCAAGTAGAAGCTATCAATAGTCTTGCAGTCCTAGTTGTGTCAAATAGACCGGAAAATCTCGGAACTGAAGGAGATTGACACAAAAACACGCAAACTATTGAAAATGCATAAGATGTTACATCTTAAAGCAGGTGTGGAAAGGCTGTACATCCCAAGAAAAGATGGAGGAAGAGGCCTGATTGATGTAGAAACGGCATTCAAAACAGCAACAATAGCGCTCAATAATTATCTGAGGCACACAGGGGGCAATATCCAAAGCAGGTGTTGGAACATGAAAGATCTAAAGACAAAATTTCAATAACCAAGAATGCTACTAAGTTCAAAAGGGAAGTAACAATGCCAGAGCTTGAGAACAGAGGAGATAAATTGGCCTCGGAAAATGCTAAGGCCCTGAAACACATATTCAAGTCTAGGACTCCAACTCCAGTGGAGAATCTGTCAAGATCATGATATCGAGACTACAGACAAATGGTACCAACATGAGCCAGAGACTGTGATGCACACAGAGACAACAACATCACTATCATATGGTACATGCCGGTCAATACTGACTGAACTATAACAGAAAATATACCAGATATCGTATTTAGAGATCCAGTGAATTCCATCTGCAAACTGATTGATATGACTGTTCCATCAGAAAGAAACATCGCTCTGAAGGAAGTGGAGAAGAAAAGCAAGTTCAAGTACCTAGAATAAGAAATACAGAGAATGTGGCATATGAAAACCGTGGTGATCCCTGTGGTTGTTGGTGCGCTTGGTACAGAAAAGAGGAGGATCGTGGAAGACGTAAAGAAAGTATCAGAAGCACATGGGATCTGCGCGAATCCTCACAAGGTGCTTGGCGTATGAACAGAATGATTGACTTGAGTGACTGATGCTCTAGGTGCATGGTTTGCACCCGGCTGATGCTCAAAAAAAAAACTCCAGTTAAGACTGTGATGGAAGAGATAATAACAATAATAACACATAAATAAGAGTGTGATGAAATTTATGAACCAGCACCGCGTATCGTCCTCTGAAAACCCTTTTGGCTCTTTGTGGCTCGATAACTGCGCTCTCTACTGTTCTCTATTGTTAAAAGGCTGGAAAATAGCCACGAGTCACAGTGGAACTTAGAATTGTACCAGGAAGAAGAACGTTTTTGAGGATAAAGCGGCTGAAATCCGCAAGAAAATATCCATTGCGAAGGCAGAGCTGGAGAGACAAGGGACAGCAGGCAACTGAAACAAGATGAGGAAAGATCACTTAACAACAATTTAAACAAGATACAAGACGGTCCTACTCTTTGTTTGCATTCATGTGTGATGGAACATAAGATTGACTTACGTAACCAAGAGAAACTAAGAACGCTTCTTATGGTAACACTGATGTATTCGAGAACATTGAAGATGCGAGTATCTTTTGGAAGAGCCTATGGGAAACAAGAGGGACTGGTAGCAAGCAATTTCCTTTACAGATCAGGACTGGATGCTAGAAACCGCGGTACTCGTAAAGGTCGTTCTCAAGAAGAGAAACTTTAGTGCACCTGGTCCGGAGAGATTAGTCAACTTCTGGTGGAAGCGAGCAAGGTGTCACGAAGCGATTATGCGAGCATTTAAGGCCATTTCTGAAGTCAACGAGGCCTCCCTGTTATGGTTTGCAAAGGGTAAAACACGGCCCATTCCCAAACCAGGAGACTTCTCGAGTGAAAACTAAAGACCTATCACTAGTCTTAACAACATCTTTAAATGGTTCACATCGTGCATGCAGATCCCACGTGACATCCACCTTAACGCAAATGACGTGATGGAAGGGGAACAGAGGAGGGCGAAGACTGGATTTAATGCAACCACAGACATCCTCATCATTGACAAGATGTTGACCCAGCTCTATAATAAGAGTTATTTCACACGGCTGAGTGAGTGGATGAATGCTCTAACCCACTGCATTGCTGGTGTTTTGGAGTTATGTACTATTGAAGTCTACTTGACGTTCAAGACTGGAACATCAACTCAGAACGATGTAACACGCAGATTGTTTAGCAAATCCTCAGAAAAGTTTGGCACATGTACTGTTAGGTTTTTCACGCGTAACACAGACAAAGTACTTGGAAAGACAACGCTGCAATGAAGGTGCCAATGAGAGCCCATGAGAGCAGCATGAACTGTAAATATTAAGGTGAAAAACATGAATTTAAGTAACCATCCCAAGGAGTTATTTATTCTAACTTCACTTGGGACATTGTGGAAAAAGTGAGTTTTTCTTCTGCCAATGTCTGTTATGTTATTTTTCCTCTAGGTAGCGCTGTGTGTATAAATGAATGGTAACTTTTGCGCTCTGTCGACGCATAATTCTGTTTAAAAACATTTTTTTTCATTCCATGGGGAGGTCACAGTTTGCCATCTCACTTTATCAATGTTTGGCATTATTTTCACCATAAGTTTGGCTGTGTCTAGTCTGTCAAGGTGTGTGCGAACATCGGCTTATTACACTTTTGACTTCTCAGGAGGGTGATCACTCAGCAGTCTGACATTGATAAGGAACAAACAAATGAACATGTGCGCATACATCCCTTTCTGAATATGAGAGCATCTGTGTTCGGGAAGAAAAGTAACCTTGTCTCAGATTTTGATCGGTCGAACTATCGTTTCGCTTTCACTCCTTGAGTAGTATAGGAATTGTAGTGTTAGTCATTTTAACCCATGATATAGAAATGGACCACAACTGAACATCTCAAAATATTTAATGGTTTATTAGAGACCTGAAAGGTTATTGCAGCTCTAATACACCTGTTAAGACTTTATTGACTCAAATGCAGAAATTTGAAAAAGCAAAGTATTAATAAGCAAAAGTCAATGAATCTTTGGCCATCTCAGGTGGACTTATTAGGTTTGTTAACAATAAAAAGAGCTTGAGGATTCGGATACTCAAGATTCCAATTTTCAACCAAAGTCAGAGTTCCAGAATCATCACATCCCAGATAGAAGCCACTGCCACGTTGTTTGAACATCGTATAGCTCCAGAAGTATTCAGGCTCAAAGATGGATTCTTCTGCACCTTCTATTACCTTAATTGAAAATAGTTTTGAATTAAAAGCTTTGAATTACTTTTTCTCATGGTTAAATAACGCTCTTTTCCCTTGCCAATTTTCTTAGCCACAACCTTGGAAACAATTGCCATTTTCAGGCGATTTATTGAAGTCCCTTTCTTGGACAATTTTCTATTGAGTGTCAAAAGTAATCCGGAATTGCTCAAGGTTTGCTTTCGCTCTGTGATTGGTCCAAAAAAACTTGCGCCACTCTCTGAACCAACAGATGCAAAACTAAAATCATTACGATTTGGTCCTTCCGTTGCGATTCCCGGCTTTCAGCTCGTTTTTGTTTTAATTACGGCACTCAATCGAAGATTGCTTTAAGTCACCTTCGAGTTAGAAAGACAAGCTTTCCCTGTAGCACTTAGCGTTGGAGGAAAAGACATTTCAGTTGGAGAAATCAGTTATTTTAAAAGGACCCTGGAGAAAATATATAAATAGAACAATAAAAAGAATAAATTGATTATTAAAAATTTGAAAGCTATTGAATGAGAACGATTCTATGTGTATTAATTATTAGATAAAAAAGGTAAAGGAAATGGCGAATGAAGTAGAGAGAGGTGATAAGACAGAATCATGCCATTAGTTACCTTGGCTTCGACAGGCTTTCCTTTACCATCTCCGGTCAGTGTTAACGCTTTGTTTGCTCCATCTTTGAATTGCAGGGCAAATGAAGCCGTCTGACCATTTGTTTTATCAATGGTCTCCATAAGAGCTAAAAGGGACATAGAGTAGATGTAGTGTTAGATGATATTTCAATTCCTATGATAAGGGTCCAGGAAGCCGGTCATGTTAAACGAGTTCCTCAATCAACCAGCTGAAGTCATACCAGTTACCTGACTCACAAAAGTTTTGGCAATTTCTGGTAATTTTATCAACGTTCCCTGGGCGCTGCGATATCACTCATATTCGGAGGTTCAAATAAAATTGCTTATATTACTTAATTAGTAGACTGCTTGTTTAGGTTACAAAATTTGGTGAATTTTTCATCCACCTTAAATTTTGGACTGTTGGATGGGAGGCGTCATTTGGCATTTATGAGAGATAACAAAAAATTGATCCTTATTTTGATAGTTGTTAGTATGCTAGGGTAATTTCTTCTCGCTGCTTTGTTATGGAAAACGCCTCTTGTTTCCATCTGCTATTACTATTGAGGTCAGTTGATGAAGGTTGTTTCTGCCTGAAGGTTAACATGAGCTGCGCAATAGAAGTGTTAATGAGACTGAGAGGGAAGACGGTCATGATGAGATGAGGGGGAATGGGTAGGAACTGTAAAAAACACATACATTGACATTGCGAAGCTTTCATTTATACAGGGACATTTGGTTAGAAATTGCATACAGCCCACGTTATTCTTTAAATTAACTGAATGATATACGTACTGTCACCACAGGGGCTAAACGTTCCACTGCAAGTCACAATGTTAGTGCTTGAATTCCTCATTACAACACCCTCATTCTTTCTGCTAACGGGGCTCCACAGTCGATAAATGGTGTTCGGCTGGATGGGATGAGGCTTAATAGGTGACTGAAAAAAATCACATAAAAATTGATGGGTGAAATTTTGTAGATACCACTAACACTCGTGGATTGTTTTATTTGAGGCAAATTAGCGTTTGGCGTTTGAGGCGTTTATTTCTGGGTATTCTGAACCTCTCACTCGATCACTTACAATCTCATCGGAAGCGGAAAAATTTCATATATGAATAAATGAAAAACATGAGTGCGCAGATTATTTCTCCAGCACTTTACTATAGAAGAAGACTTTAGTTTTACCCGGCAGCAACAGAGCATGGAGTAAAATATCAGATTGCTTTTCCATTTGGTTTTTAATTTTTTCTTTCATTCTTTATCGAGCGTTGGTTCCGCAAGATACGCAACACTCACTGATTTCACGGATCGTTGTTACAATGTAACTTTCCTTGCAGTTTATAGACCTAATCTGTAGAGTGCCAAAATTCAAATTTGTTTATACTTTGCCGAATACTCACATCGAGGTATTACTTGTGTAACACACGCGCATGAGAGACTTATCATTACTCAAAAATAAGCTACTTTAAGTTAATTACTTAATAGAAATTGCTTCTTCAACCTGTCCTCTCTCTGGAATTCGAACTCGAAGTTTACTGCCATCTTTAAGCAGTTCGTTGCTCTGCAGATCCACATAGTCATCAAATTTTTCAACGTGAAGCTGAAACTTGACATCACTTGGCTCCACCTCGCGCGGTAACATATCGGCGAAGGCTTCAAGAAAACGAATGGCAAAGTCCTCGACAACTTCTCCTTTTGGACAGGAAATGATGTGCTTTGAATCCTTGTAGGTCACATGGATATCAACCTGATCGGCCATCTCTAGAATTTGGAAAATTCAGGAGGATATATCAGTGCATCATGACGGTAATTCTGATACATGGTGTCTTCATTTGTCATATAGTAGATCAAATATTGTACTTTTACAGGGTCAAACTGCATGGTTCCTATGGTCATCACAAGTGATGTTGTTGTTGATGTTTTTACATTCCTCAAACGCCAATCAATTGTTCTAAATGATTCTAAACTGTTAACGTGTTGCGTGGCATGGTTTCTAAATCTTTATCTGCTAAGAACTAAATATTGTCCAGAATTTCTGCCATTATTTCCCTATAGTGATTCTGTTAGCTAAAAACGTGATGTTATATCAAATCCTATGCCATGCCAGCTTGTCCAGTGTACGCAAATTTACTTCACAACCCGTCCGTTTGATACTGTGATATTGAAATTGTGTGAGGAAATAAGTTTATGGTGAGGCTGGCGGCTACAACGGAAACTGAATGCTTGTTGACCCTATGTTAGAAACGGAAATATCCATCACCAGACGAGGATTTTTCGAGAAAAGGTAAACATATGTCTACGAGGGTAAAACGGAGACACATAATTGTGTGTTAATTCAGTCTACTCAAAATCTGACCGTCTAAATTTTTGCCTTTTCCGTTTGAGTTTTACGCTCTAGCTCTATCAAAAAAGCAAAGTTTTCTTTGGATTTAACCTCAAAAGCAATTCTCTGAATTGTAAAGGATTCTTAATGTTGTGGTAAACTGTTCCTTAAAGATTAACTAAAGGCAATGCATGTTCACCTTCGCTTTGCCTAAATACTGTCGTCAGGCCTTAGACACCCAGAAACATCCAGATATGCTTGCGGTATTCAACTATACTAAGCTGTAAATGTCAGTGTTACTCTGTCAGCCAGGTAAATTTTCCATTAAGCTGCATCGGGTAATAGTGGACGAACACACTGAATTCGAATCACACGCGACCTAGATAGATCTGTTGATAACTCTTGGTGTTTTGCTAAAGGACTGAGCAAGGCTAAAACAAAATACCACGACTTTTTAAAGCCCAGAACTTACGATATTTTGAAAGAGATCTCAGAGATTGACGAATAGCAACTCACTTTCATCCGTTTGAGTCCTCTGCTGCCATAATTCGTCGATGGCGGAACTGAGAAGGTACATGCAGCAGAAGGTAACACGCGAATATCGTCACTTCATTGAACTGACTTCACTATTTCATGGCCGTTCAGGAGAAAGGGTTTCCGTAATTATACCATTCGTTTAAAAGGATCCGTATCTTTTCGTCTCTTAAAGTATTATGGGAGTCTCAAAATTTTACATTTTAATATTTTTGATTGATTGCGAAATTTCAAAATCAAACATCAAAAGGGCAATACCGATAAAATGCTCTCTGAAATGACTAGATTATTCACTTGATTTCCTTTTAACTACTGGAGAAGTGAAATAAATGCTTCCCTTAGGTCATTAATTTTTGGACTGCTCAAAAATAAAGGTCTATTTACTTGCACAAAGAGGAAACATTGCTTTTGAAGAAAGAAGCCCACACGCGAAAGTGAATGAAAATATGGAGTCGAACCCCCCTTCCCCCTTCTCTTGCCCCTAAAAGCAAACTGGATAGTATTGGACCACTGAGTTAGTTCAGTGCTACTAAGAACAAACAAGGGGTTGGGCAAAGTAGTCTAATGATTGACGATAGGCCTTAGATACCGAAAAACACCCATACATACTTGCCAGTCAACAAAAGCTAATTACAACTCAACTAATTACGGAATTCAACTTTTTTAAGTGGTCTTTAGAATAACAATTGCACGACACGTCGTTTGTGTGGTTGTATTGACCTGAACACAAGGTTGATATCGTGTTCGAATAACGTTGCAAACTGTGAAAGTGTCAAAATGGATGTTAAAAAAATCTAGTTTAAGATATTACTCTTATCGCATTTAAGGCTTGTAGAAGTTTATATGGCTTTTATATGCCACATTCACCAAAATTCAAATGCTACTCGTTTAGTAACAAATACAACTGAATGCATTCGTAACCATGCTATTAGTTTATGCGGATAATTATTTACTGCATATTGGGCCTTCTATTGCAGTCGAGTAAGAACGGAAACTAACTGTGTAGAAGCCAATATTTTTCCATTACATATGAGAATTTTGGAAATTATCATCATTTTATGCTGAAGAAAGCCTTTTACTTGATCATGTCGCTCCAACTGACCAAGAATCAATATATTTGCAGACAGCGTCAAATTGTCGACGTTCTGGTGCTTAAAAAATAAAACAACTTTTATACGCTCGAGATCCTCTGTTGATAAACAAAATACGAGCTTTTATGATCCAGCTATATTCGATACATGTTATACCTTAGGAGAAGAAACAAAATTTCAAATCCACTATGAAGTATTCCTAAAAATTCGTTCTCGATCGATGTGTGTGTTACGCTCCAAAACTAATGTAGGCCAACAGGTACAATTCAATCAAAGAAGAGTCGTAGAATACCTCAATCAACTCAAATAAGTCACCATTTAGGTAAAAATTGAACCCCTTTTTTCTTTTGAAATACGTAATAGCGAGCGATGAGACAATCCAGAAAGACTGGAAAAGGCTAAAAGCTTTATCTGGCCTATCTAATGCATCTAGTAAATTCCTTGCACAAATCAGTGAGGATGGGAAAGCAATGAACCTCAATCTGGTCGTCTGTGATACTCGTCATCGAATCCGTCTGTCAGACGTTTTAGTCAGCACTGAAGATTAATAGTGAATACGTAGGTTAATGATTTAATATTTCAATACCTTTCTTACCTTGACGCTCACTAACTTGTTGACGTTCCTAAAGTTGAAAGAAAAGCTGAAGCGAAAGGAAAGTGTATTTGTCAGGTGACCGACCTCGCCTTTTCTTCAGTCCAAAGATCGTTTCCGCTGGATTGGTGGTTGCCAAAACAAGTAGCGTTAAAACCAAGACGCAGGGGGGAAAGGTGAGGGGTTATTAGCATGGTCCCTTTCTCATTTACTCGTGTCCCTCCGGAATATGACGCAGTTTTTGATTAATCGTGTCAAGGCTTGGATGCCGCATTTACTTTGGAAAGTAACTCGAGCAATGATATTTTTTTAGCATATGCTTTATCTGAAGTGCGCTTGAAATTATGCTTTTAGTAAAAAAGATAAAAAACAAACAAAAACAAAACAAAAATAACAAGATGAAATTTAAAGTTTTCCCCTGTTATCATCAAGCTAAATGCTCATAAATAATGGTAATAGGACTAAGTGGAGTCCAATTCGGTCTGTAATTATTCTAGTGATTAACAAAAACAAAAGACCGCGAAGCGGGAGTCCGATTTGTCAATGTCGAGTATGATTAAAGATAGATTTTGGCGACACGAAGTCCTGTTAACAATTAATCAAAACTAGGACAAAATTTAAGAAATAATCTAGACATCGATTGTACGTTTTCACAAGAAAGACAAAACCAAAACCAAAACAAAAAAACTCGGTGAAATCTGAGACGACAGCGCGCGCACTTGATGCGTTCTGTCCACCCAGACAGGCATGATTGTTAACTGTCTTTTTACTGTTCTATTACACTGTCCAATTAAAAGGATGTCGGCTAAGTCAACATAATATCTTTGACCAGCAGTGCAGGGTAGAGTTATCAGTTAATGTGCAATGTAAATGGGCTCCCCTGGTCGAATTCCGGCGAATGGGGTGGAGATATCTAAAAAGATTCACGTTACGTCAAATTGTAAGTTATCGATATTTTTGTCGACGGTCGAGTGGTAGGACTCTGAAAATCTTGAACACTTTGATTTGATTCCGACAGGTCAATGCTGCAATAGAATTCTTAAAAAATTCAAAACCGCAAACTAATTACCATCACTGATTGCGGCATAATAATCTTATGCCTCATTTGCTTTCTACTCGGAAAACAATGACACCTGGTAGACCTTTATATTGTTCATGGTTTTCCTGAGTCATGAAATCATTTGTAAATTCTCTCCATCAGTTAACACGGATGGAGGTATTCCTTCACACAGTGTAGTAATAATTTTATTGAAAAACTCATCTTCGAAGGTTAAGCATCACCTTTAATTCAATTTAAGGTTAGAAAAACATTACAATACAATAAATTGTATTTAACTTGCAAATAGTTTTTTCACTGACTGAGATATTCTTTTTGGAATACTTATGCGTATATTTACTAGAAAATCGGTCGTCTAACTTATTGTCGAAAACGTTGCAGAGTTTAAGGGATCGCATATTTTCTGAGAGAATGGAGAGGGGTGGGTCTTTGGAATACTACAAAGCCTTAAGGGAGGGCCGGAAAAATTTATTTTGAGACAACCAAAATCTTCTAACCCTTCCCCTGTTACTGCCTAATCCTATCCTTAACTTTTTCCGAGTTCAGCCTAGCTCAAGGGAAATATCATGGAAAATCTTATTTGAAGATTAAAAAACATCCATCTTATATATTAAAAAATCTCAAAACAAAAACAAAAACTATTCTCTAAATCCTGCTTGTTCTTTTACGATCTCAAAGTCACAATGTTCAATGTTCAGAGGGATACGCCTGGTGGTGCGTGAACCTCTCAGGCAAAGTAAGGCGAACCTTAGTAGAGCGAAGGACACTTTTGAACGTATCCATGAAATCGTTGTGCGGTACTCCTCTCTTTTCTTAATAGATATGAGTTCCGCTAATCTACTGTGTAAACGCTTGCATTCGTCTGCCATGCCTCCGGTAGTATTGAAGACTAAAGGTGTAAAAGTCCCTCGTTCAACTTCCAAAACCCTGTTCGCGTATAACCTCTTCTTCTCATCTTCATGTTTGCGATAAATCTGCTGAATGTTGAGATCTTTGTAAGACTCTGCGTTTGGGTGAGAAACCCTTACGTCGAAAAAGGCAGAGCCTTGCCTATCCCAAAACCCACGAGCGTGAACATCCAATCGGGCATCCGGTGGTGGGCTCGTACCCCTCGTCAGCACTTCTCCCGTTATCTCCTGGCGAACGGGTTCCACTTGCACATCG